TACTGGGGCTTTGCAGGGAAAAAATAAATAAAATCTTTAGAAAAAAAAAATATTCGACCTCACTAGTTTCCAAGAGAATGCAAATTAAAACAATGACATGATTTAATCTAGCAAATTAACAAAGGTTAAAAAAATTCAGTGTTCTTATGGGTGTGAGAAAATAGGTAATTTCATATCCTGGTGGTAGAAATATAAATTGGCATAACTTGTCTACAAAGAAATTTGTCAAGAGTCTTTTCAGAGTTTTTATCTATTGACTCAGTTATGCCACTTTTAGGAATCTATTCCAAGGAAATACTGAGAAACTCTAAAATTTACATATAAAGACACTTAATATGGGATTATTTATAATAAGAATAACTTAAAAGACTAACAGTAGCGGGAGAGTTAAATGAACAAAGAAATCACATGTTATAATTCTAGTTTAAAAAATCTGATGGGTTCCAAATTTAAAATATATATGTATATTTAACAATACAGATGTAGTTGATTAGATAGATATGATAGATAGATAGGGAGGTAGGTAGATAGATGGATAGGTAGGTAGGTAGATAGAAAAATGATTTAAAAGGAAATACGCTCAAATACTGAGTAATAGGTGAGTGACCAGATTACTGATTATTTTTATGTTCTTTAAATTTTTCCAATTTCCTTTTAATTTACATGTATTACTCGTAGACTGAAAAAATTTGAAGTTGATTTAAAAATGTTAGCCTGCCCTTGTGTTTGTAAGCCTCTATTATTTCACGCAAACTATCTAAAAAATGTGTTTCTCAAGGGACAGGAAGGGTGGGGTCGTGCTCTGGTCCCTGTCCATAGCCTTTGCTTATCCCTGGAGCCAGGCGCAGTCAGAGCCCAGGACAAAGCAGGAAGAAATGAAGCATGCGGAGATACAGGCTTCGTTAGTCTTTGGTACGAAGGCGTTCACTCTCCCTTCGGGCCGCATGTCTCTGGCTCCTCAGTGTCTATTATCCAATAAATTGTTGTTCCTTTGGTGTCTAGTCTATACCTCTTACAAGACTGATTATTTCCTTAACCTCTCTGTTTTTGAGAGGATTAATTAATTATTCTTTTTTGTTATTTTGTAACTGGTAACTCACGGGGTTAACTTGGCTGCAGACCCCGGAGTTGCACAGTCAGAATATTTACTTGGCGTTGCCTGTCCCTGGAGTCTTTGTCTGGCCCACGCTGACTCAGCAGCTTGCCGGGACCTGAACACCCTCCCCGCTTCGCCCCTGCAGTGCTTCCCCACACGGCGCTCTCCAGAGGGGCTCCCACATGTGGAGGGCTGGATATACTTTCACTCAAAAGAACCAAACTTCTCGGCCTTTTGGTGGTCCAGTGGTCCATGTGTGGAGACAGCTGTGAGAGAAACTACACAGAGGAGGAAGGTGGGAGTGAAGGAAAACATGTGGAGGGAGAGAGAAAGGCACAGGGACACGCACGCACACACACACAAGCGTTTTCAGCCCTGGCTCTGAAATGGTGTGTCTGGGTAGTCTGCCTTCCTTAACCACCAACAGTTGACTAGTAATCCTTTCTGTGTGCCAGCCTGGCTGTGGAGTGTGGGTGGCCTTAGCACTTACTTCTGGAAGCAGCCGCAGAGGCCCCCGCCTGCGAGTTGCCTCCTGGAGCTCTGTGCTGTGCGTGGAATTGAACACAGGGTGGCAGTAATACCACATCTGGACTCCATCACCCGCCCCGCCACCCTCTCCCTGTTCCCACACACAGAGCCTGGTGCAAGCTGGAGACACACACACACACACACACACACACACACACACACACACCCCGCTGGCTTCCAACTAGGATGATGACACGTTACCTGTCATCAGGTAGGACCTGTGTTTGGGACTGAGTGACCGCTACTGTGGGAATCGCAGGCAGGACAGGTATACAATTTCCAGGGCCTAGTGCAAAAGGAAAATGGAGGGTCCCTTGGTCAAAAAGCAGGAAAAAGGTGCTGTTGAGGGTAGTAAAATATAAAGCTGAGCTCAGTGAGAAAGTACCTCAGGCACCTCTCCCTTCTCACCTGGGGCTTCTCGGGGGCTGCTGTGGGACACCTGAGGAACCGGGGCCTGCTCGGTGCCCACACATGCCTGGCGACCGAGTGCAAGGCAGTGGATGCCCGTGGGGACACCCTGAACCAATGGGGGATGAAAGCCTGTGGGTAACACGTTTCCTGTGACGCCTCCAGGGTCTCAGAGGTACGGACCACTAGTCCTTAACATAGTCACACATCCTAGTATTGCTTTTTCCTCCTTTCTTGTTCCACCGCCCTGACCTCTCACTCCTGCTCCCTGGGGTTGCTGCCCAGATATACTACTTGCACATAAACCTCTGACTTGGATTCTGCTTTTGCAGGTGGTGGGGGAGTAGCGGGGGAACAATATCCCATCCGACAGATTATTCAAATCTTGATTCTACATCTAATCGTCTTTCAAATTTTCTCCATTCCCACTCCTGCTCCTCTAGTTCAGACCCTCTTCATCTCTTGCCTGAAACAGTATTAACTGGATTCCTAACTGCTCTTTTTTCCTCCCTTTCTATGTTTTTATTTTACTTAACCCATCATCTTCCCTGCAAAACATCCACCCTTTTCTGCTGTCAGGGTGAACTTTCTAAAACACTACAACTGCTCACTTTTAATAGCTCCCCATTGCCTACAAAATGAAGTCTGAACCCCTTACACGATGTCCGTGATCGCACAGACCTCTGCGGCACCGCTTCCCATTCCCCAAACACTCCGGTCACAGTGGAGTACCCATTTTCCAGGTGCCCCTCGGGTGGTTCTTCCTCTCACAGCCTTCACTTCAGGCAACCTTTCCCTTCAGTTGGTTTAGTTCATCAAATGCTTACTTGAACACCAGGCGCATAGTAGTTTCTGCCATCCAACGGGTGAGGAGCAGGCAACAAGATGGGTGGGTGGGGGGAGATGCTGCAAATTACTGGGGTGCATGGTGCAGAATGTGTTGCATGTCCACACAATCCCATGTAAAGCCTTTTAGCTGGTCCGCCCCAGTTGAGGGAGCTGAAAATGCTTTTTCATCAGCCCAGAACCTCTGCTGGTGTTTTGGTAGGGAGATGGGAAAATTGCATTTGCAGAACTGAGATGTTGTGGGAAAATAAGGTTCTGAGTGGGGGTAATGTATGAACAGCGTTTTTATCTTCACATTAATCATAAAGTCTGATGTCTAAATAAAGGCAATGAGACTGACATTTTGCACATCTTAAATGAGTAGTAGCGGATGTGGTACTCAATTTCCACTTACCATCCCTGACTCACAAAAAAATGTGTTACATTTTCTTCCCAGCAGTCTCAAGGAGATGCTTGCATATTTGTTTTGATTTGTTGCAGATAATATGCATACAAAGAGGTTTTTCTTTTCTGAGTCTCATTTTACATCCACATATTCAATGTCTTCCTGACTTGAGGACTTGGAATTGTTGATTTCCCCACCTCCCTAGTTCTGCCCGCAGGCCACTGGATACGGGGTGCAGGTTGGCCCTGGCCAAGGGGGAAATGAGCCTGAAGTCCAGCCCACTCGGTTTGCCAGGCGTGGCTCCCTGGCTCACAGCTGCGTTACTTTTCTTAAATTCTGCCATAATTCAGAGAGGTCAAGTAAGTTGGTGCTTGAGATGGAAAGAGTTTAGGATAATCTTGTTTAACCAATGAAGCACAGCTCAGCAGGTAATTCTCAACCCTTCTATCCAGCTTCCAGTGTTTACAATCTCAGTCATGGCATTGGTATCTGTGCGCAGAAGCATATACCATCAACTCCTTTTTTCCATTTTAGCTGCTTCCTTCCTCTCAGGCTCGTTCCCAGTTCTAAGGACCTGGTTTACTTTTCCTCATTGTATTCATTTCCTGTGGCTGCTGTAACAAATTGCCACAAAGTGGGTGACTTAAAACAACAGAAGTTTATTCTCTTATAGCTTTGGGAGCCAGAAGTCCAAAACCCAGGGGTCAGCAGGGCCACACTCCCTCCAAAGGCTCTAGGGGAGAACCCTTCCTTGCCTCTTCTAGCTTCCGGTGTCTCCTGGCGTTCCTTGGTTTGTGGCATCATCATTCCAATCTTTGCTCCCGTCTTCCCCTGGCCTTCTTCCCTGTGTGTGTTATTGTGTTCTTTTCTGCCTTTTATAAGAACACTCTCATTTGAATTTAGGCCGTTCTAATCCAGTATGATCTCATCTCAATCCTTACCTTAATTACATCTGCTAAGAGCCTATTTTCAAATAAGGTCACATTCTGAGGTTGTGAGTGGACATGAATTTTGGGGGCACACTATTTAACCCACTGCCCTCATCTACTTTAACTTTATCAAAACTTCAGTGCCAGGACCTCTACTTCTTATGCATCTGCTTTACCTCATTTTTCTATTCTCACCTCCCAGTTCTTCTTTTCCTATTTGACTCCATTAGGAGTGACTCATAATTTGTGTGTTCAAAACTTAGTCATCCCAAATTTCTAGAGATACACAAAAGTAAGCACGTATTTATTAGAGTTTCTCATGGGGGAAGTCAAAGTTAGGGAGGGTGGGACTGATATATTCACATTCAGCTCTTTTAATATTGTACTTGATTGACATGTTCCCAAAGCTGTCAAAAATATATACACCGTATTTGTATGAATTTCCCCCAACTTATTTGAAAGTTCCTTAAGGCAATGTGTTGTTTTCCACTTAATAGCCAAGTTCCTCACAGAGGGTCTGGTGTGTGGTAGATGCTCAGAAATATCTTTTGGGTTGAAATGATCCAACTCTTACCTCCGACCGTGCCCTAACCAGACACTGCCATTCTGGATGGGAAAGGACTGGACTGGCACAAAATTCTCTCTTCATCACTCGTGGACTTTGCCTTCAAGTCCAGCCTCTATGAATACAACCTGCTGGCCTAGTATTTTAGAAAAAAGGGCCCTTCTGTCTCTCTTCCTAGGCATGTGAAGACCACGATTGAATGCTGATGGGGGTAACCTAGATGTTTCGTCTCTTCCGGAGGAGAGGAAACAGAGTTGCCTCAAGAGGATGATGGGGGAGTGAAGGGCTTCCGTGGGCCTCTCTAAAACACAGTCATAGAGCCTGTGTCTTGTTCCCCTAGTAAGAAAGTGATGTCCGTGGGGACAGAGATGTGGTGGCCTCTGTATTCCTAGAATCAAGCAGCTGCCCTGCACAGAGCCAGACCCAACAAGCCCTGGATGATGATGACAGTGCTTATTCATCTGGCTGAAACCCAAGCAGATGTGGTCACTCTGCTGTCCCCCTAAGAGAGACTTGCCTGCTTCCTGGAGAGACAAGGATCCCCATGGCTGCCTGGCCTTGAGGATTCCAGACCTCCAGCCTCAGCTGAGTTCCGGGAGAGCCCCGGCACTCTCCTGCCCTGCCGCCTCCAAGCCCAAGGCCACCGTCCTCTCGATTGTCAAGCTGATTCTGTGGCTTGATCCTGCCTCTCCAGCAGTGTGGGTGCCTCCCTCTCCTCTCACCAGAGGGAAGTCTTACACTTACTCTGAGGTTTTGGATCCGACTCTGCCCTCCAAGGCGTTCTCTTCCAGCTGCTGTGGCCCAGGCTGAAACAAAATGTTTCGTGTGGTTTCAGAGACGAGGTCACACCCATTTTCTTTGGCAATATTCTTGATCAGTTTTTATCTGGGGGAATCAACAGCTGATAGGAAAGCAGCTTCTTCCTTCTTTTACATCATTTCCCCTTTCTCTTTTTTCTTTCTCCTCTTCCTAGTTTTTCTAAATTCCAGACTGATGAAAAGGCAAAATGCTAGCAATTTAGCTGAAATGCATTGCTTTTGGTAGCTATGGGGACGAAAATATCAAAGAGCCACAGTTAATAGGCTTCAAGGGTAGGAAATCTCTGCAAAGCCACGAGTCCTGGAGTCCTGATGATGCCAGCACAGGACAGAGGCCCCTTTTCTGGAAAAGATGTATGGTCAGGTGACCCTGCAGGCCTCCCAGCGGCCCTGGAGCAGCGGAAGTATGTCCTGTGTCCTTATGTCCATGGTCCATGCTGGGGCCTGGGAAGGAGCATGAGGAGAGCACACTCACTCTACATTCCATGTCTGTCCAAGACCCCTCTCCGTGGCTTTCTCCCAGAAACTCGAAGACCCTTAAGTTCTCTCCATCCCCTACCTCCACGCTAACTTATGTTAGAGAGAGAAAAATGTTCCTGGATACGCCTTGTCTCCTGCTGAGTTTATCAGTTGTCAGTCAAAAAAGGTGAATTTGAATTTTGTCCTGATTTATTTTAGACAGGAAATTAAAATTGTGTTCTAGATGTTTTTTTCATCCTTTGCTCTTTGCTGTCATGAATAGCTAACGTACTCTTTGTGTTATTTGCTCATTGTTTCGTGTCCTGTCTCTCTGAGGGTAGGATTGACATCACAACACTCTTGGACTTCTCATGATACACAGCACATAGTAGGCATTCCGCGCTCAGTAAACTTTGCCTTTTCCTCAAGTAATTAAGTTATTGGATTGAGTTCGGCTTGCTGGACATCTGTTTTCCGGCTTCCGTTTGGGGCTTTGTTTTTTCTTCCTCAGATGTAATTCATAGTGAAAAAGGACCCTGACTTCTCTGCTCAAGGAAGAGAAGAGGGGAAAAAAGGTGCAAAGGTAACTACCTACATCGCTACATCTCCATAGGGTGCAAGCTGTAGGGTCATTAGTATGCTGTACAATGCTGAGAAATCTAGTGTAAAAGATATATGAAGAATATAAACTGCCATTAATTCATTTACTTCTCTCTTTTTTTAAAATTTTATTTATTTATTTTTCCCCCCAAAGCCCCAGTAGATAGTTGTATGTCATAGCCACACATCCTTCTGGTTGCTGCATGTGGGACATAGCCTCAGCATGGCGGGACAAACGGTGCGTCGGTGCGCGCCCAGGATCCGAACCTGGGCCGCCAGTAGCAGAGCGCATGCACTCAACCGCTAAGCCATGGGGCCGGCCCTCATTTACTTCTTTCACAGAACCACAGGTTGATGCATCGCTAACATTGATTCCCTCCCACTACAGGGAATGCTAGTCTGTCTTTCCCTCTAAACATGTAAACTCCATGAGGGCAGCGATGATGATGATAACTAGTCTGTTTTGTTCAATTCTATATCCCCCTCATAGAACAGTCCCTAGCACATAGTAAGCATTCAGTGAATATCTGAATGAATGGACTTTGGGTTATATTTGGTAGAACCTTACAGATTATGGTAATCAGCAAAGTAGAGATTAGACTTGTCCTCTCATATTTTTGAAGTCTGTGCTTGAGGTTTGATGCCAGCATAAGTGTCTCCCATTCTGATTTGATCCGGGATTCTGTAAAACACCTCAGCCTCATGCTTTCAGTAACCACAGGGGTCTGCTTCTGGAAGAGGAGGAGCATTTGCAGTAATGAAGGGGGATGGCGACCCAGTAGGAAAAGCTGATGTAATGAAGATGAGAGCACAGGCCCACACGTGTGGGTACTTGACTGTAGAATGTATTTGTCTGTGTGGGATGTCCATAGTTACCAGAGAGGCCTTTCACAGCATCCTCTTTTTCCTTTTTGCTTCATTTAGTTATCCTTCACTCTTTTATAGTAATAGGTTGGGTTCTGATTAATGTTGATTTTAATACTGGGGAAGAATCAAAGAGGATTGGCACCACTAGTCATTATTGATGATATTATCTGGATTAATAAATCTTGGTAATCATTGTTTCCTCTGAGAAGACCCATACTTCTCAGATACAGACATGAGTTGGTTAATCTTGCAATGCTCTAATGAGGCTGAAAGATCATTAGCTCCATTTTTCAGATGGTGAGACCAAAGCATGGACATTGACCTGAGGCCAAGAAAGCCAGTCCTGCCATTGTGGTCTTTTATCCCAGTCCCCACGCCTTCCTAAGCTCCTATTGCTGGAAAGCAGTTGGACCTTGACTTGTCCCTACTACCTGATGGAGAAAATGACGTGCTCCATGATTCTAACATTATCTTTTTTCTATGGCTTATGTTTCTTACCAGTGGAGGAAAAGCCTAGGCAAAAGTGATCATCTATAAAACTCTTTGAATTTAGGATCTGCCAATCCCTACAGGGAAACAGAGGGAATTAGGGGAAAATGAACTGGGAGATATGTAGCTTACAAAAGTTTAAAAATAATTCGTGGTCTCTGGCCTACACACTGGGGCAAAAGCTCATGATGCTTTTCCCCTAGTTTTCAGTCCCAAGGCGGGAGGCAGTAGGAATTGCAGGCTCTGGAGCCAGATGGCATCGGCTTGACCATTTACTTGCTCTGGGACGTTGAGCAAGTTACATGACCTCTCTGTGCATTGACTGAAGTCCTCACCTGTAATAATACCCACTTCATTGGGCTATTGTGAGGATAGAATGATTTAGCACATTTAGTACTCAAAGCCCTTAAAACAGCACCTGGCACACAGTGAGTGTTTGATAAATGCTCTGTAATGATTATGATGACGACGATTTCTCTTCTAACTGTGGGCCATGGGTATGCCTTCCTCCAGTATTGCCTCATGTCATGAAATGGCAATTTCTAGATCTGATTGACATCCAGTTTATTGGACTTTACCCCAAAATGAAACTCTTTGGGCATTTCTAGCAAAGGAAAAGAAGAATAAGATTTAGGAAGAAAGCAGAGAAATGGTTAGAAAGATATAAATAGAAAAAATAATTAATTCTTGTGTTCATTCAACAACCTTTATTATGTACGTGCCATACGCAAAATACTATACAGGGCTGCGGGGAATATATATTATATGCATGTGCACGTGTGCACGCACACACGTGTGCACGCAATATTGTTTCTGCCTTCAAAGCACCCGTCTCCTCCAGGAGGCTTTTCCTGGGGACCCCAGGCAGGGTTAGGGCTGCTCCTCTGTTGGCTCCTAGCACCCCATCTTTAGCACTCATCGTGTTAACAGACTTTGAGTAGCCGGCTTGTCTAGAACACTGTGAGCTCCACGAACGCAGGAACCTTGTCTTTTTGGCTTTTGTAGCACCCAGCAGGGTCCTGGTGTCTGTTGGACAGGACGGGACTGGGTGGAATAAGCAGAGGTTGTCTCTTTGGTGTTTATCTTCCTCTCCCCCCACCCAACCCTGCTTTGACATCACACCCTTAGCCTTAGACCTCACTTTTAGGCCTCATTGTTATCCTTGACCCCTTCTTGGTCCCTCTTCACCTGTGACTTTCCCTCTGGTCCCGCCTTGATTCCTCGGGACATGGTCCTCACCACTGAGCCAAGAGAAAGAAGGGGCTTGTCTTCTCCAAGAAGGTGCATCTTGAGGAAGCTTAGAGGGATCGACCACAGGCTTCTGGTGCTTCAGGACGTCAGGTCCTCAGGCTCTGGCTTTTGCATCCCCCAGAAGTGGCCTCTCTTTTCTGCCTCTCTGCCTAGTCACTCACATTCCACTGGAAGAGGAGCCTAGCGTGAAGTGAGACTGGGGGCTGGGGGAAGTGTTGGCAAAAGCTTGAATCAAAGAACCTCACGTTCAATTGGGTTTACCTTGCTCTTTCTTCCGTGTTCTCGCCAACCAGCCTCCCAATTACAGAGTTCTCGGGGCCAGCCCATTCCCTCAAGGGCAGCAGACCTGTCCAGCTCATCTCCCATTTGAGTCTCTGCAGCTTCTGGCTTCTGTCAGCAGCTGGAACCTTAGGGATTTCTGAAAGCAACCGCACATCGTGTGTCTGCAAAGTGTTTATACCAAGTGCAGTCTCATGCAGACGTTTGTAAACATACTGCCAGTTGATAACCATCTTTGGTACTCTTTCCATCAGTCTGAATTGCTGTTCATCTTTCCAGCGCACACAGAGAGGCACATCCTCCTGTGACACGCAACCTCTCCATCAAGGCATCTGCTGAGGTGCCTTACTGTACGTTCAGGTTCACATACTCACCATGCACCCTGTCACCTTGTGCAAAGACCCAACTCACCTCCATCTCCCTGTGTGGTTATGTTTAGCCAGATCTTTCATTTGTAATTGTTTTTGAAACTTAGCTTTAAACCTCTCTTCAAACCACAGTGGTATGCTAGAAGGTAAGGCTGCCAGGGTTTAAGAGTCATGATGCCTGTCTTCCCCTTGCCTCAGGCCATTTTCTTCTTCTGGAACATTGTAATGGAAAAGAAGACAGACATTTTTCTGCACTTGTCTGGTGGCTCCTTCTGGAACATAAACTAACACATGGTTCCTGTGGCGCCGAAGCTCTGCAACAGAGGCTCATCATAGAGGCTGTTCTATGAGCTGTGGTTGGTTTTGGAGTTGGCTAGACTAGGAGGATTCCTGGGGGATGTTTTTTGTCCTTTGTTATTGCTGAGGGGCTGGCTGTAAGAAACAAGCAAAAATAATGATGGCCTTCGAAATTCTGGGTTTTATTCTCCAGCTTACTCAAGTCGGTGGTGACTTGGGTAAGATGACATTTTTGATGAGAAATGTATTTTTAACAGGCCACTCTCTACTTCCTATCTCCAAATCTTGACTGTGTGGATCAAGATCTTAGACCCTTGACCCAAGGTGTTTCTCAATTCCCCTACAGGGCTGGAAGGCTTAGCCAGGTACAGCTGGCATATCTACATTTGTCATCACCACTAATCATAAAGGCCCGGGATAAAGAGTCAACTTCTTTGCCTTGCATTCAAGGACCTTCAAAATCTGGCTCCTACTTACCACTCCAATGTGCGACTCCCTTCTTTGGACTCTCACTTTGATCAAAATGGCAATCCTTGTTTCGCGTAATCTGGTGTTCTTACTCCTCTGACAGTTTCCTCGCAATATTCTTTTAGGGCTTCTCTTCCTCCATAAATATCAGTTTCCCAAGGGTTTTGATTTTGGCATCTTTCTGCCCTTCTCATTTTATACATGTTCTCATTCACCTGATGGCTTCAACTACCACCATTCAGTCTACATCTGCCTCTATCCAGAAATTTCCCTTGAATTCTAGACCTCTATAAACTCACTGGATATCTTGTGTATCTCAGTGAACACCTCAAAGTCAACATGACCACAACTGAATTCCTCTTTCTCCTCAAGCTTGGCTCACCTTCTGTATTTCCTGCTCAAGAGAATGACCCACAAGCCAAAATCTGGGATTTGCTGTACATTTCTCCCCATCCTTGCTTCTCATCCAAAGTTGGAACTCTTGATCCCTCCCCACACAAATGCCTTCTCTATCTCAGGAAATTGTATCATCATACATCTAGCTGCTCAACACAAAAACTCTTGAGGCCTCCTTGATAGTTCCCCTTCCATCATTCCTGCATTTAATCCATCAGCAAGTCCTATCAGTTCTACCTCCAAAATATTCTCCAAACGTCTGCTTCTTGTTGAATTAATCCAAGAAGTCACTAGGCTCTGCAGATTTGATACCATAACATCTCTGTGGGCTGTTTTCTCCTCTTTATCGCTCCGCCATTTCTATAGGTTAGGCACTTTCCATCACTTGTCCAGATTATCTTAATTGCCTCCTTACTACTCTGCCTGTCTCCAGTCTTACATCCTTTAAAGCCATTGTTGCTTCGTTCCAACAATATTTATGGAGTGACCAATGGGCTTGGGATAGCTGTGAACAAGGCAGATATGACGCCTGCCCTGTGGGGCTTACGTTCTGGTGAGGAAGACAGACATCAAGCCCATACTTGCAAGTATGACGAATGGTGGGAGGACCCCAGGGGCTGAGAGTGTCAAACATGGAGACCCACCCTAGCCTTAGGGGTCAGGAAAGTCTTTTCAGTGAAAGAAAGTTTCAACTGAAAACTGAGGAATGAATAGGGGGCAACCAGGTGAAAGGGAAGAAGGTGAGAGGAACAGAAGGGTGTCCTAGTCAGGAAAACATCAAATAACAAATTTGTGATGAATTTCCTCCACACTGTTACCAGTTTGATCTTTCTTCCTTCTGTCTTAAAACGGTTTTGTTTTTTTTGATAAAAAGTACTACATATTCATTGTGGGATATTTGGAAAATACTGAAAGATTTAGAGAAGAAAATAACATTTACTCATAACCTCCCCACCCAGAGATAAGCGTGTTTGCACTGAGGTCCATGTCCCTTCCGTTTTGTCTGTACACACATGCGTTTTCAAAAGGACCTCCCTACACTGAACATCTCATCATATTATTTCCTTTCTTAAAAACAATCAGTGGCTCCTCACTGTCTGGGAGCCTGATGCTTAGCCATAACTGTTTGCTGAACAGATGACTAAATGCATGAGTGAGTGAGGGAATAGATGTATGCAGCCTCACCTCCGTGTGCTCTTCCTCTTTTTCACACCTGTTTGACAAAGTCTTGTCTTAGGGTATGACCCAATCCAAGCCTTCTTCAAAGGCTCCAATTCTCGTGATGGTGCTTGGCTTTAAGCACAGATTGTATTGCTTCTCAGGTTCTTAGCAAAGGTTAACTGCCTTCAAATGTTGTTTTTCTAAGTTTATACTTAGAAGCCTTTCATGCTAAATAGTCTTTTGACAACTCAACATCTTTCCATCCCTTCTACACTCCACTCTTGCCTCAGAGGTTGGAAGCCTGAGAACCACACTTCCCAGAATCCTTCGCTGGCAGTGTTCCCAGTTGGATTCCACCAATGAGAGGCATTCGCTTGAGACTTGGAATGAAAAAGAAAGGTAGAATTTTTTTTGTTGCTCCTTTGGCTGTGGAGGCACATGTGTGGCAGGGTGGTCCCCTGAAAATTTCCTACCTTGGTGCTGGAGGCAGCTGGGATCAGCAATGGTGATTTCCTGCAGTCTCAGGAGATCCTAATTTTCTGAAAGAAAGAGGCAAACCTGAGAACTGGCCTTTGCTCCTCTGTCCCTTCCCATCACCTTCTGTGTTAGGGCTTCTGTTTTCCTGACCAAAGCCTTGCTGAGCTCCCTCATGGGCAAGGCCGGCGTCCTGTGCCTCTTTGTACCTTCTTACCTGCACAGGCCTCGCCTGGCTTAGTTCCTCAATACATATTTGCTGCTGCTGAGAATGACAGTAACATCTGTGACTTTACCACTGTAGACAAAACACCTTACTTAGTGGACAGAGCTGTACTTGTTTAATGATTTAACTTTATCCTCCACAGCAGGGTACTGGGGATGTGTGCACTTACACAAAT